ACACACACACCCACACACACACACACACACACACACACACACACACACACACACACACACCACAACATACATACACAGACACATACACACACATACACACACAGACACACAGACAAACCAACAGACACTCTGAGCGCGATATACATAGTAGGAGCACAGCAAACAGGGACGATGTTAATCACTACTCTGGTTGGGTCAGTGTATGTTTGGGTGGTTTGGGTGGGATGGAATGGAATGTGTGTTTGACAAAAAATGAAGTCTTATTTGTTCAAAACACAAGCCGAGATGAGTAGAGCACTTTTAATTGTAAGATAGTTGATGCTCCTCCTAGCTTTGGACGACATGCACTGAAGTAGATGGGTCATAAGCAATGCTTTCCAACTTAGTTTCAAAGTATGCCAGATACCGGGAAAAATGGACAAAGGTGAGAAATGTCCTAACAAGTAGGACGAAGCAGACCAACCGCATTTAACTTGACATCCCAATCCGAGGGGCTGGCTCTATAGCCTAGGAAAAAAAGCTGTGGAAGTCACCAAAGTCCAGAATGTGTCAAACATGCCTGAACTGATAACGGAGGTATTCTACTGGAGAAGCCATTCAAGATGAGATGCCTACCGACAAATGTGTTTTTGAACTCTGATCCTAAATTTACATTTCCACCTGTGAAACGCTATTGAAAACAAAACTACAGGGAGCATTTTCCGTGTTGTATAAGAATTAGACGGACAATAACCATGGTAAGTCACTGTATACGTTGTGAAGCAATTACGAAACAGTAAGGTAGTGTGGATTCAGAGGTGTGATATGATAGTTTGCATCCTTGATGCTTGTACTGCTTTTGCGTCTCTATGAAATGGGTATCAAATTGTAACAGAACAGAGCCTAGTTACAATTCCTAGTGACTTTTTGCAGCCTCGCTCTTGGAAATGTTAACCTTTTATATTATTCTCAGGTATCATCAGCATACAATACTGCTCCTAATTTTTGTTCAACCGACGGTTTGCGACGGATTAATCCGTCGCAAACCGTCGCATCGCCATAACTTTCGTTAAAGTGCTCCGATCAGGTTGAAAGAATGATCAGCTGCAAGCTATACTCGTGAAGAATTCAAATATATAATAATCTTCCGATTCTCTTGATTTTTTCGCCTTCCTTTCCGGAGAAAACGAAAATGGAGTCTTTCAGCACCTGGGGTGTTACTTGCGGATATTCCAGCATCGTAAACCCTCCATTTCAACTGAAAACTTCGTTTCCGGTTTTCGAAGGACCTGAATCGTGCTATAACTAAGGAGAGCATAGAACCCTGATCATTTTGATACCCTTCTTGACATAATTTAAACACTTTCAGCTGAAAGTAGCGGTGTAAAGCAAATACCAGGTTTTTAGACGTTTGTTGTTTCTTTCAGCCACGTATTTCGTATGACGACCGTGTGATTGCTTATGGGGAACCTGTCCTGTCATAAATTTTCAGTTTCTTCGATTTTGCAGCATCGCTTTCATGGAGGTCAATGAGTGAGTGTTCAGCACCTGAGGCGCTCGTGCAGATATACTAGCATAACCTTTAACTCTCCACTTCAATAGAAATCTTCATTATGAGATTTTAAAGACATTTGGATTATGGAAGCGCGACGTAGTGCAGAAAAAAAGAGACTAATCTAAGTGTTTGAATCGTTGGCCTGCCAAATGAAGTGGAGGAGCTTCAAGCACATCCTTCAGAGCACACCACTTGATTTAGAAGTTTGTAATTGAGATTAGTGTTCGTAAACATGTTCGGCAGCATCCAGTTGAGTGGCCACTGCAGCACAGTACCCTCCCAGTAGAAGGATATAGTTGAGTTGAGATGGAAAGAAGTTTCATTTAATCGGCTCAAGAAGGCCAGCTCTCAGTTTGTTCCCCATTACTCTAAATTCTTGGGAACCGATTTCCTTTTCCCATTTGCTACGCGGAAACACCACAACTATTTTGTATGTGTAATATTGAACGTGATCCACACAGGCAACAATATTGTGTAGGCAGTCACAGAGCTTTAGATGAATAGACAATCCCTAGTTGCATTATACGTAAAATTTGACCATTTAGTACGGCTGGGCGGTTTTCCAATTTCGTGGTCTGTAAAGTTGGTAATGTTTCATTGTTTACAACTGTTTTTTTAGATCAAAGTTTGCTCTTGCAATCAACAAAAATGATAACCTTGAACAACTCGGTTTGCGGAAACTCAAGGTAGGCTCCCTCTTTTTTGGTGTTCTATCGGATATCTGGACCTGCCAATTCACATTCGCCTTCCATTGTTTTTCATTCAGAAAATCAAAGCTGGCAGCGTGATTATCACTGAAAATCATGGCTTGTGCTATGCTCAGACCATCAAATGGAACAAAATCATCGCTGAAAATGCTCAGGCGCTTGTCACCAAGAATATGGATGCAAAATGTGGTCAGATCTGTTTGTAAATTTTATTAAATAACTAAGATACTAAAGTCGACTTTTTCGAAATGACCGGGTGGTTTCACATGCAGTGCCTGCCGGGAACAATTTTTAATTCGCATATTTTCTCGTATTTTTCTTTGTTATGAGTCGGTTCGAAGTGTAGTTCTTTCAAGATAGGTATACCGTTGAACATAGCTCTTCCAGCTTCACGACACGAATCTGGATTTTTGTAGAAGCTTAGTTTTGAAAAGGCTTGATATCGAGGGATACTCTCGAATCAAAGGGCTGTTATTCTGCCGTAGTCTGATTGTGAGAAGCTAGCTATAGATATTAATCCGGGATTTGAACCCGTGACCATGCGTGTGATAGCGTGCCACTTGCCACTACGCCACCTCCCTCCGGGTCGACTGTTATCAAAGAGTAGGGAATCGAAAAAACGTGAATTTGCGTTCACCGCGCAGGTGAAGGATTTCTATGGGCGGGTACTGTGCCTTGCGGTTCACCAGTTAGCCCATTCTCTATTAGTCCTGAACCTCTTAACAGTGTGCTGTTGAGACAGATGGTACTTGAGCTGTTTCCGAAAAAATGTGCACTAATCATTTTCGCTTAAACGCGGTTCTTAAAAGTGCCTCTGAACCATGAGGTTAGGCGCTGAAGCGATGGTTCAGCCGATTAAATCGACAAGTTATCCAACAATTATCGCAAGCTTTGCCATCAGGCATACTACCTTTCTTACTAGTGTTTTTGAAAGCGAACTGAACTAATTTTAGAAGGACGTGGTAGGATATGCGATCAGACTTGCGATCCAGAGTTCGGCTGCTGGGGACGTGGTCCCACTATGTGTTCGAAATGTCGATACTGGCAGTTAGAGGATATGTGTGTGAAAAAGTGTCCGCAGGAAGGGTGAGATTTTTCCTTATTCCTTTTCTCTAGTTCAGCGCAGTAGAAATTAATTGAAAGTCAAGAGTTATTGGAATTCTTGATCCTGATTTGATTCCAAACGTTCGATTCTGACAGTGTATCCGATTTCTTATTCTTTCTGGAGTGCCTTTCAGATTCTACGAGGATCACACCACCAGGAAATGTCTCCCTTGCTACGCCGAGTGCTTAACGTGTTCAGGTAGGGATAAATATGGCTGCAACTGTTATACTGAAGGCCAAATATCAATGAGATAAATGGGAAGTGAATTGCATAGAAGTTGTTATTCTGTAGGACCAACAGAGCGGGACTGTCTGTCGTGCAGGAATGTCCAGTTAATCTCCGATGGACAACTTGTCTGTTTGACCAACTGTAGTGTGTCCCATTACCAGGATGGCACACAATGTAGACCATGCCATGAGAGCTGCTCAAACCTGAGGTGCGACTTTCTTCTTTGTAGTGAGAGTTTTTGAACAAACAAGTTTCCAAATGAGCTTGCGTTCAGATGTACTGGACCAGGAGATCATCTCGGAGAAGGTGGCTGTTCAGAATGCCTTTACGCACAGTTGTCGAGGAGCCATGAGGTGAGGTTCCTGAGTTCCACTCATGGAATTGGTGACGTTTAGACTTTTCAGGTGATTCGCTGTTTGATTGCTCCTTCGATGCATGAAGCATGTAGTGACATCATCGGATATTACCCTTCTACTCAAGCTATCGATGGAGTTCAACTTGTGGTGCGTTTCGAAGTAGCATTAGCATTGAAATATGTTCAGTACTGAAACCTTGTTTTAACAATATAGGTTATGGATTTTTTTCAATGGCTCACTGGCAAGATTAATTTGTGGTTTCAATATTATTTACATAGGCTGGGTATTAGGCGGAGGCCCAGAAGACCTGGCATGACAGGAAAAATACTTCCCAATACATAGTAGAGTAAAACAATTCAGTGCTGAAATCACCATCAATGTATAAGAATGAATAATAAGATGATCTTATGTATTTTTAACAACTTTTAGCACTGCGATCCATGTGATGAACAATGCACTTCATGCACGTCTGCAGGTCGTAACACTATTGCAAACGGATGTGTTTGTAAAGGTAATCTTTTTGACTTTGATCATTGATCTGAAAGGTGGAAGTTTCATTACGAGTTCGTGCAGGATTGAATATACTGGGTGTGCCTTGAACTCTGATTCCACAACCAATAAATATAAAGGGATAAAGTTTTTGGTGATAATCAATCCCATCTGAGGGGTGCGCCCCGCACTCGACTTCCATTCAGAATCGTAGTGATGTAATGAGTGCATATGTGGCCTATACAATAGCTTGCGGTGGCCAGCCGATGCACAAGCCTAAGGCTTCATCCTCCCAGACGATTCTGGTGCCAATTCAACGACCCCTGGGGGATGGAAGGCTTGCTTGGCCTGCGCGGATATCGATCTTGATTTGAACTCCTGACTGTTCGTGTGAAATGGTGCGCCACTTGCCTTTTTTTCTGACGGAACGCTCCAACATCAATGTGGCCGCTATGTTGAAACTACTTGTTGAATAGAACGGAAAGGTGAATTATGCTTTCATGGCATGGGACGCTCAGCGTTGCAGGACACGAACATCAACTGTTGTGGAGAAGAAAGAGATTTACCCCTCATTTATAGCACAGTTCGCGATCAAAATAGTCCATAGAGTTCCTCCCTAGAATAAATCTCTAAAGCATAAAAACAGCATAATGGATCAGATCGAAGCATATCGGATCGAAAAACGATCTGGATAGGGCGTAGTAAGGGCACTAAAACCATCTAGCAGACGTACACACCCAAAGCGGACGGCGATGTAGGGGATGCAGAGTTTGCATCATTCGCACTGGGACCTAAACGTTGAACGCAGGCAGCTCACTGTAGCCATGTACGGAATGGCGCACTCACTTGGAAAGCTCGTATGAAAACCCCTTCTATGCAGCTTTTGCCGTCACATTTTCGTTCGAACCCTAATTTTACTGCTTTTTTGAAGCCTTTTATTTCTCTGAAAACACTGATCTCAGCGTTTTTTCGTCACTTTTACACGATTCCGGACTACCACCTCTACTGTCCTTCTACATAAAATTAGATACCCCAAAAGAATCGTGATCTGTGCCTTCAGATCGTATTGAGCTGTTTTGCTACTGTATAAATACACACATACGTACACACGCACATACATACATACACACATTTTCCAGCTAATCATATATAGTAGTTAGAATATTATCCTTCTCTAAAAATCTCTGGATAGTCATCTCACTGACACAGGCCACCATCTACGTAGTTTTTGAGCAGAGCTTGTGAGTCGCGAGTATATTCCCCTTGCTTGGAAAGAGAACGGATTGCTGGTTTAGGATACGCGAACGAAATGGCAAAGGACTCCATATGTCTAGACCGATGCTTTGAGTCCCACTATATTGCACAGCATCCAAATGGATCACAGCCGGGCATTTGCAAAAGGTACAGTCAGGTTGAAATATTTAACGTAGTTGAAATTCGGAAAGAACTTGTTCCTCTGCCCATTCGGTTCTATTGGAGGGCATTTTTTCCGAAGCGAAACGACACACAGATAGTGCTATAGGCTTCAATAAGTAAACTAATTATTCAGCTGCCATCATCTTTGTGATCGTGGACACGGATGTACGGGACCATCACCATCGGAGTGTAATCAATGTATGCATGCGACGCTAGCTGGAGAACCGAACGTGAGTGTTGGAATATCTGCTCCATTAAAGAGTTGATCTTTTATTAAGAATAGGATAGTAAAAGGTTGATACATGGTAATTGCGGAGTTTTTCGCGGCTTCTTTTCTCTCGATAAAATTAAATTTTCGAATTCGGGATTTTTGTAGAAATAATCTTTTCGCTTTCCTTGACAGAATTATTTCTAGAAAGTCATCTTCATATACACCACATTATGCTCTATTACTTCGAAAAAGGAAGGAATGCGGCGCAGTCATAGAGTGACCTCAACGAACTTCTCGGCCATGGAATAGTCAGCCAAAACCGAAAAGGGATGGAGTCTGCTTCTACGTACGCCCTGTTCACCTTCTATGGATTATCACATCAATCATCCGCTGGAAAATTGCCTAACGAACAGAACTTTCGACGAAATGGACGACCTCGTGGCCAATGTCGCCACATTACCTCCATGAATCGAAACTTCTTCGCCTGTGTAATTCGACTGCCTAGCAAATGAAAAGCAATGCCTGGCGTGATGGTGCATATGTTCCGGAGTAACTATATAAACACGTCTTTGCCAAATGTTTCTATCGTTTCGTTGAGTAAACTCAGCTGAAAGAAATCCGCAATAGTTATGCATCTTCCCAATAGTTTTCGGTTTCTGGAATTCATAGCATTGGACCACGGTGTTGCAAGTTTCGATGTGAGTAAGGGAAATCTGATACCATTGCAAATTACAAACATGAATGAGTAACCTGTACTAATTAGGCTTGGCCCTTGTTTTGATCTCCGACTGCATCATTTTAATTCCGAACAGATTTAATTACTTTGTTTGCTGGGCTGCTGAGGAGGGTTTGATTCATTCACAGACGAATGACAAGTCCATCTTTACTCCGAAAGTAATTTCTTATAGTTGTTACATATTCGTCAAATTGACTGTCCGTGCTCTTGAATGACAGCACTCGTGGATTACTACATATTTACCCTTAATACTTGACTTGACTACGAATTCAATTCATGTCTTGAGGGAACAAAAAGTAGTACAGCACTCCCTCCGGATGCGCTACACGGGCATACCTTCCACTTCAATGGGATAACTAGCGATCCTTTTGTTGTTACGAAGAAACCTGCAGAAACTTCCTCCGATCGTGGGTGAGGTTGAGCTTTTGGCTGATTGAGACACACGCGTACGACGGGGATCACCAGTGAGTTGATCGTATTTTTCTGGCAACGGGCTTCTTAGAGATGCACAACGAAGTTGCACTGATCATGCTCAAAAATGTTCGCCGATCCCCTGCTCGTAATTTCTGACCTGCTCCCCACTTCATCATGATGTTGTTCATCATCAATAACTACTGGTCGTCCGGACAAGGATCATCGTCGATCGTTAATAATTCGGAGTGAAGGCAAGCGAATAAACGACTAAGTACTAACACACTACATAGCAAGGTCCTCGTTGTTTACTGCTTGGATGTTGAAGGCAGCGGGACAAGAATTGGATCTGCGTCATCTTCCGTACAAGGCAATTGCTCAAAGTTGCTCCCTCGGCCATTGCACTCCCTCCATGGTATAGAAGGGAAGCGTTCGAGAAGCTACTTGAATGTCACTGGTGGTAAATCTGAGATTGTTAAAAATATGCTGCTGATTCTAGGGCAGCAGAGGTCCTTGCACCGACGACGCATTGTGTGGGTATAGAGTTGTGTCTCGAGGCTTTCGCATCAACCTAATATATATTCTACATATATATGTATATGTAAATTACGCAATTATACGATGTGTACAAATATCACTGAAATTCAGCTTTGAAATGATTTGTGTTGAAAAAAAAGGGAAAAGATGGGGCTCGGGTTTCGCTCTGGCCATTTTGTGATCAGCAGGGTTCGAGAAGCTCTTTCTTCCAAAATGCAAAATCCACAGACGTCAGCTTCTCCTTGCGCGCAGCAGGGAAATCGGGAATTGAAGTGCTTCTTGTCATCTCAATCTGATTCACCTTGCAGCTCCGTTACCGCAAAAAAATAGCCTTTTCCCCGTAAACGACGATCCCATCTCCAATTCCAATTCTACTATCCTTTGCATTAGAAGGGATGCCATCTAAATGATATCTACCACAGTTTTAATGTATCGGTAAACGTTCTATACAAAGCAGTTGAATGTTGAGTTAGGAAAGTGTCAGTGTGGAGCAGCAGAAGAAATGCAGATCTCCGCGAGGTCGATGAGCAGGGCTGTGTGAGGGTTTTGTGAAAAAGTAGGCTTACAGCCAGTTAGTCATGGGCCAATGTTTTTCCCACTGCGTAATCTTCAAGGGGATTTACTTAAATTCAAGTCATTGTTTCAGGTGTGCGTGGCTGAATGCCCCGAGGAGTTTCCCTTCCTGGACGATTTCAAAATGTGCAATCGAGTGGATGTCAAAAGAGAGCGAGAAAGGCGTTCCAAGATGATCGCAGCTTCACTGGTCGCCATATTCACACTTTTGGTGATAGCTATGATGGTATGTTTGCATCACAACTGCAAATAAAAAGGAAATTACGACGAAACGACCTTGAAAAGTCACAGGCCTTTTTTACCTTTTCCTCACTTCCTGCGAACTTTTGTTGCAAAGCTTAGTATTATTTTTTCAGTGCATCCTTATCTATATGCTGGTGGGTGGCCTCGTTCCGCGCCTTAGTCTAAACTACGTCACGCCACAGCCGTCGCACGCGGCGTCAGCTCGCGAACTTCGACAAACGTCGCCCTTGTCAGCGGGACATACAGATGCGCTCGGTCCCACGGCAGTTAGCTTGAAGTGAAGATAACATGGACTAGTGCGAACCATCCGCTTCACTGACACTTAGTGGTACTGTAATGTCATCTCGAGGTCGGAGAAGGCTGCGCCGCACGCGAAGTGGGCAGGCTGACCTAGTTTCGACGGACGCGCGGAAAGGACGTTCCTCATATGCTGGTTTCTTTGTCTGCAGTTGATTGCGCCTATCCCTTGAGAACTCGACCGATCCCACTCATTCCCTTGTTCTCACACTCTGCCGTCTCACTTGAATTCCTGAAGCTCCATTTCGTGTTCTTTTTTTTTGCAGCTAATGTGTTACTCAATAGGACAGATGTACTTTCTGAACTCATCTCCAGGTCACTTGCGTACAGCTTTCTTGAACTTGCACCTGTTTTAGATCGTTTGCATGCGGTGTCGGACATTTAAGAGGAAATTATTGAAGGAACAGATTAGCAACTACGTCGACATTCCTGAATTGACTCCCATTGGTAAGTGTTTTTTGAATCTTCGCAGCAAAGAGCAACGTGATTTTCGTGGAAATCAAATTATCGCAACTATCAAGACTAAAAAAGTTTTTTTTAACAACGAAAAAACTCAAGAATGCAACAGGATTAACTTGTTCTTAAGATCCCTCGATTCGATCTAACATGAGCCGTGTAAACCTGATCACTGCAAGTGAGTTGCAAACGAAAGGAACACAACTGGGAGCTGGCGCATTCGGAGTCGTCTACGCAGTAAGTTTCAGCAAGCTGTAATTACTAAGGCAGAGTTTATCAAGTTACAATAGTTTTTTTTTTACAATGGTCGCTTCGTATTTGAATTAGTGCCAATTTCTTCAGAAGTGTAATCGTAATAATTTTCTCTTCTGGTCTTAACAAACATGCCATCGCACGGAGGTTAACTAGCTCATTGAAGTAGATAGAAAGTTCCCCAGGGAAAGATGGGCAGTATAGGGGTTAAAGACAGCAAAAAGGAATAAAACGACGCCAAAGTGAAGCAAGTGGTGATGGATACGCGAGAAAATAGGTCTCTTCTAAGAGAAAGGCGATGAGTTGAAATCAATTTTTTTGTTCTAGGTCTCCTTATGTAACCTTCGCTGTTCCTCCTTTCTATGAAACTATGAAACGCAGTGATCAGGAAATCACCGTGAAAGGGGTCATTCCCCACCGTATTATATTATACTTAACCGTGCCATGACGTGCCTCAACAACCGACTTGCCATTTCCGTTACTGAAGGGAGAGTCCATGGGTCAGAAAAAATTTCCAAAGATGAGAATGAAGAAAGAGGTGCGAATAAAATTCGTTGCAAATATGAGCTCTCCCTACATTTCAGTGGTTGTCTGGAAACGAGGAACTATGTTGGGTCTGAAAAAAGGAAAACTGAGGACCGAGTGCTTCAGCTCCGGGAAATGTAAAAATCCAACATAGAGAAAATCCATTCAAAGAACGAATAACATTGGTCACGTAGGCGTCACAAGAATAATGAAGGCCAACCTTACTTTGTAGAAGGTGTTTTTCAGTGCAAAGGAAGGCTATTGGGCGGGCAGAAACGAAAATGGGAGATAATCAGACAAAGAACCCCAGTCCAGAAAAAGATGGCAGAGCACAACTTGCGCAGTGCGGAACACGCGCTGCAAGGGCTCGATGTCACTGCAATCACAGAAACAGCCGCTTGTCATCAAGAAGGGCTAGTTAGCTACTAACTTGAGAGTCATGAGCGGCTTTTAGTGCTGTCAGGAAAAACACGATGACCAAGCGTAAGAGATCGTTACACCGTTGCGTTACGTTAACATTAGCCACACGAACACTTCTAATGGCGAGAGAAAAATTCTCTACCTGGCAAAATCGTTTGGGCTTTATGTACTATGAATGATAAAATAAAATAATTAAAAACATTCACTAAAACTATAAGAATAAACAGATTCTGATCTTTTCTTTGATCTTTCCTACTCGTTGCTCAACCCTACAGCTTGAAGGTATTCTGCCTTATTGATGCATCTGTGTTTTCAGGGCTTTTGGTTTCCAAAGGGTAAAGGCAAAATAAAAGTACCAGTCGCGATCAAGCTTGTCAAGGGTCCTTGCTCTGGAAAAGAGGTTGTATCCTGTTTCTGTAGTCGCTGAAAATTATGTACCCTCTGCTCTACTTATGAAACGAAGTTTAGGAGACAGAAATGCTGAACGAAGCAATGCAGATGTCATCACTTCGTCATGAACATCTTTTACGTCTCGTTGGAATTTGTCTTCACGAAGAGGGAATTCAACTGGTAGTTCAAACAGGATGATTTGATTCCAATCTTAAGTTTCCTGAAGTCTTGCTACTACAGGTCACACTTCTTCGGCCGCTTGGAAACCTCCTCAACTTCCTGAAAAAGCACAAAGCTCATCTGTGTGGCAAGGACTTACTACTGTACTGCTATCAAATATCTTCGGTACGTGAATATGAAAAGCACCAGTCGGGTAGCTCGGCATATGCCATGCTTCACTTCTTTCTATGGCAAAGTCGAGCAAGATGCCTCACTGAGACCATCCTTAATTTTGATCCGAACGAGGCGACTTTCTAATTATGAAGTTTTTGGAACAAGCCATAACGAATCTCTTGGGATCTGCCATGTGACCTACAGTTTCTTGAAGGTGATCGGTCGTGATTGATAGGTTAGATGACAAAAGTTCTCCTTCAATCGTGACGGCTGATTGTTAGCAATGACGGCGTTTTAACAGTAGGAGTCTGCTTGTTTGAATAAAGGGTTCTCTAGGCTATGAAATATCTGTACGAGCACCGTATCATTCACCGCGATCTTGCTGCTAGAAACGTTCTGGTGAAGCGTCATAATCACGTAGAAGTGACCGACTTTGGTTTGGCAAAGCTTCTCGATTACGGTCAGGAGAAGGTCAAAGTCATGGAAGGAAAGGTAATCTGACGTCGTTCAAACTGACAAGAAAGAGGTGCTTTGATCGAGTTTTATTCAGGTTGCGATAAAATGGTTAGCCCTGGAATCATTAAGAGATCAGAGTTATACGCATCGCACTGATGTTTGGGCATACGGTGTCACATGCTGGGAAATCCTAACATTTGGACAAGTAGGTTTCTTAGAGTCCAGCTAAGAATTGTTGCCAGAAAGTGGAAGACTACAACGAACAGTTATATAACTTTTTTGCAGAGTCCTTATCAAGGCATGGATGTCTGTGCTATCAAAAATTTCCTCAAGGAGGGAAACCGGCTTTCTCAGCCAAGCAACTGCTCGTCGGAACTCTACCAAGTCTTGTTGCAGTGTGAGCTTCTGCTTTAGTCTATTTTTTCTGAGGAGCATGCAAATTTAGTTAGAATTGGGCCTTTTGGCACCACAACTCTCTCGCCTGATGAACATGCCCAATTAGTTGGTTAATTAGTTCCATGGCAGACACACTGAACTATTATCAGTTCTCAAAACGGAAAATCCGTAAAATTTCAAAATCACTTTCTTATAGCCAGGGTATATCACCCAAAAGTTTGGTGTTTTTTGTGCTTATATGTATTTGTTTGTCTGTCACAAAATTCGGTATTACATGAAGAAACACCTGTTGAGTTGGGTTGAGTTTGAGATGGCTGGAACCTGGAGCAGGATCATTAGAGCACTTATGAACTCAACGAAGCTCTGCCTATAGAGGCGAACAAGCTCCAGAACAGCGCGATGTTAAGAAAAAATTTCCTGTTTAGCTTCAGAAATGTCCAAAACATGGGAGAATTGAGCAGAGAATGGGTCAGCAACTCAAGGTCCACCCGGTATGTGCAGAGCATCCTCAAACGTGGGCCCGTGGGTGACCTTTTCCATATGAATCCTAACATGGTTACCACAAAGCCTGAACCCTACAATAAGCTTTATGAGAAATCGCCCACACTGCAAGACATTTGTAAGATGGGCCAAACTACGTCCTCATGAGGAGCGAGGAGTGCTCCTGCTATAAAGTGTTCTTTGAAGCATCCATAACTATTCAAAAACGCTTCAGGATTTGAAAACGTTGAGAAATGTTACTGGGGGAAGAGTGAACAAATTTTTCACATTGTGCTGGGTGTGCACTGGGGGGGGGGGGGAGGGGGTTGAGAATAGAGATTTACAATTCTGATCAGAACGTTCTAGAATCAAGAAAAAGGTGTTGCAATTTATGCAGGCGACAGGGTGGGAATGTTGTGGTAGCTGGCAGGACTCGAGCGGGGATGAGCGTTTGATCGGAATTTCGCAACTTCTGTTCCTTTAGACTTACAACATTGTTAGAACGTTCACTTCATTATGGTATGCAGGCGGTAGGGTGGGAACTTTGATGGTTGGTGGTGGAGGTTATTTCTCTATTCTTCTCTTTCTCCTTCTCTTTCTCTTTTCTCTCTTTTCACGTGTGATTGCAGGTTGGATGGCCAATCCGGAGTCTCGACCAACTTTCACAATGCTTCATGATCGATTTTTGAATTTCTGCCGAATTCCTCATCTATACGTTGTGGTACGTCCACTTTTTACACCCAGTTTATCGAAGCAATGCATCTCGCGGTTTCTAGTCTCTTCTACTGTGCTTCAACTTTCGATGAATTGTTATTTCATTTTTTGTGGCTAATACTTGTGGCATTCAGGACCAGTCTGCTCCACAAGCATTCATTGAAACTGAGTCTCAAAGAGACTTGTTGAGGGAGCTGTTGAATGATACGGAGAATGACTTCACTGATCCATTGAATTACTTCGAGACTTGTGAGAATCCAGACACACCCACTAATGAATTCGAAGGAGTAAGCGTGATATACATCATTCTCTTAACAATCCTAAGTCTTTAAACTCACCTACGAATAGCAATAGAACAAATTACTACTGCAGAGCGGAAAATTGGTAGCTATTAAGACTGATCGCTATAAACGGCTTTTTCTAAACCTCAACATGGTGCAATTATTGACTTCTCTGCTTGAAGCCAAGGAATCGAAGCGAACCCTCCCTGGCTCTGAAGAAGGCGATTCAGCCGAAAAGTCAGTCCGTCGATAAAGACTTAGATCAGCCTCGCCTAGGATTCGAGCAGAGAAGTCAATAGTTAATACATTGTAGTGTTGCCCTGGCACCCGCCCTTAATTCTTTTTGCCAACTCGATGGAATAATCATGCCAACTTGAAAGGGTGTATACATTATCGAGTACGGGGCTTTGCTGAGAGCTGACACTTTCTTCAAGGCGATGTCTCTGATGAAAGCGCTTACGTTCGCGCAATGATCGGTGTTGAGGTCTAGCTTTTCGAGCAAGCTGCTTCTCAGGTGCACCACGATCCCATTGTCGACGTGGTGGGGTCTAGCGAACCACATCACCGGAGACGGCACTGTGCGGAACATCCTGCAATCTCAAGATGTCACATTACGCCAATAGGGGTTCTTTTGTTTGAATTACTTCTTCAAACACGATGTTCTACTGTAACGTAAAAGGCGTCATCCAGTAAAAAAGTACTACGTCAACAAAATAATGTATGTATAAGCAGGCAACTTAGAAATTCAGGATTGATTCCAAACAGTAAAAATACAGTAAGCAAACAAAGTGAATATGTATAAAGAATTATTTTGCCTCGGAATTATAGATTTAGAATGTGATAGATCTGAGAGTTTTGAACGAAGCAAGCCAGGTTTTCTATGGAAATACCACTAGGATCGAGTAGCTGCATGCTCTCAACAGCGGGGAGAGGATAGAGTAAAGACTATCGCTTACCGGCAACGGTTTTTCTTTGAAACGTCGGAGAGTGTAAAATTTTTTCTTTTTGTTATCTTCAGTCATATCCCTAGGCCATTCAGATTTGATGTTGTTGTTTCGTTCTTTTGAAAAGGCGTCGCAACGTTGGTTTAGGGATGTCCCATTCTCCACAAATTTTATTGAATGCCATGGCTATTGTGGTTGTTCGGTACCATACCATCTTCTTTCCAAGCACGATTAGCCGTTCTGAGCTTTGTCATACCAAGGATAACTTATCTGTGGAATGCAAATATCCTAATTGACCTAGCTTCAAATCAGACCAAGCAAAATATGAAATAGTTCCTTACCAAGCGTAGCGTATGATGTAAAAATCTCATGGAGGGTTCTGCTTGATTCAGTTGGCACGCTACAGTTCAGAAATAAGCATAAACCAGATTTAATAAAATGGATACTACGTCATTTCGATCAAGCGGTTATGTAAATTTCACCGAAAACATATAATAAGAAGATTGAAGTTCTTTCTGGTGTATACGTGGTTGCAAACTCATGAATTACTTATTGCCGCCGTAGTTTTGTTTGGAATTCATGTCGTACTACTTAGGTAATCTTATCCGTTGACCATGTACTACTGCTATCGTAATCGTCTCAAAATGATTCCAGGCATTTGGATCTCGCAACCTTCGAAGGCTACAGTCGGCAAGTTCAAATCGTTACCATACAGATTCCACAGTTCGAGGTCAGGATATTTCCGCTTTTATGAATAGTTCTCCAAAAAACGTTAATGAACGCAGAATTCTTATTAGACGTTTTAATGACAAGTTTTGGAAGCCTAAGTTTTGTTTAAACAACCAAGTGTTCCATAATTAGGTTCCATAGTAGGTTAGGAGCTCGTCTTGGCAGAGTTGCACATACGACTGAATGACCAGATATCTGTCCGAACTTTCGTTTACCAACAAATTATTTGTGCTTGATTCGGTCCAATAGTACACAGATTTGACACTCTAGCTCGCTTCCGTGATACAGAGACGTTTTAGTGACCGCTCGTCCATCGGAGGTCGGTATGGATGATGGGAATTACTTGATCCCTAATGCGAAACTTTTGAACGAGCATGCCACGATGTATACTCCAGTAGTATTGAACGAAAATGGAGCCACAGGTTAGTTTCTTTTTTCACAAATACTCGAACTCACCATACACGAATGGCAATGAAGTGTCGTGGTCCGTTTCCGGGATGATATGCATTGATGTTAAGGGCGATGAGCCATTACGTTGCTACAGTGCTTCAGTTAGGCGTCCTGAGAAGCCATATAAGGGCGAATGCGCTTTACTGGCCTAGGGTGATCGCTGTTGTTTGTTTACAACCATCATAACAAAGCAGACGTGGGGTAGCGTCAAAGCGGAACTAGCGTTCGAGGACCGAATGGTGGATGGAATCTCTAATTCTGGAACCTCTTCTAACTCAAAGGCACAGTTCACGACATTTTGAGGTGCCCCTTTGTAAAAAGACGAACTGTAGCTTAAGAGTGGTTCATGGGTAGTGAAAAAAGCAAGTAGATTCGCCGATTCCGAGGAAAATAAGGCATTCGAAAAAAGTGAAACTAGAGTTTGGACGAGATCACCACGACGGAAGCAACATGGAATGGAGGTTCGGTTTGAGATTTAAGCTGTTTATTTATTTATTTATTTATTTAGTAACATGTACAGTCAGTACATGAATACAGCGTACTACGAAAACAAATATAAATAATCAAGATCCAAGAGAACCAGGTAGTAAAAGAACAGCTGATCAAAGCAAAAGTCATTGAAAGAGAAATAATACATAATAAAACTTCCACTAAGGCAAAACTAAAAATGAGCCTAACCAGTGTAGCTCTCAGCCAAGTATTTTTTCAGTGCTCGTTTGAACTGCGACAAAGTTTTGGGCAGGGAGTATTTTTTAACAAATTCACGAAACTCAGAAGATGCCCGATTAAGAAAGAAGTTTGCTCTAACATTGGACCTAGACCTAGGAAAGTATGGTTTCAAATTACTCCCACGGGTATTTGATGGTTGAAGAGTGAGAGCTCCCTTTAAATCAACAACTGATCTCCCAGTGAGTATTCTAAATAGCATAACAACATCTTGCTTCTTCCTTCTACTAAGAAGTGACTCGATTCCAAGCATTCTATTCCTTGTAGTTGCTCCAGGGATGGATTTATAACAGAAACCCAAAGCCCGAATCAAGACTTTCCTTGTAAAACTATTCTGCACAGCTTCTAATCTATTAGTATCTTTTTTAGTTCGAGGAAAGAATACTTCCGTTCCATATTCAAGAATCGGGCGCACATATATTTTATAAGCTCTTACAAGTATG